AAATAAGCCAACATCCTGCTATCAAAGTTTTCTTTTAGGCTCATCATCGTGCTGTCTGTGCCCTTGGGCTCCCCGCACTGCACACCCTCTGCAGCCATGTGTACCACTCGTACAGGGTTTTTAAGGAGAAGGCAAAAATGCTCAGTGCTCTCACCTCTCTCCTGCTCTTCCTTCAGATTGTGCACTGGTGTGTTTGCCTACACCTCAATAAAATCTTCCTTTTGTGTATTTTCAGAAATATGAAACTAATGTTGGGGCTCAAGGATCTCAGCTGTCTCGTGGGCAAAAACAACGCATTGCTATAGCAAGGGCCATCATACGAGATCCTAAAATTTTATTACTGGATGAAGCTACATCTGCCTTGGACACAGAAAGTGAAAAGGTAAATGTGCAGGGATAGGCAATAAGGGAAAGTTAATACAACAGCTTACAATTTACAATGACTTTTTCTGTTCTTTAGAGACATCCCAATGTGCTCCATTGCATGACTTCAGTATTACATCCCATTGTTAATTCGACACTTACTTACACCTTTAATGGGCTTTGCAGGAGATCCAGGAAGCACAGCTATAAAAAAGCCATCAGCTGTATGAGCTCTCAGACTGCCAGTGACAGGCAGCATTTTCCAGAAATGTGCATGCTAATTCCCTGGGTTTCAGAGCATTCAGTGGGAATATCTCATAAATATAGCTTCTGCACATTAATAAACTAAAATATATTCAAGTATACCAAAAATGGGCCTTGAATGCCCAATAAAAACAGAAGTGAGGGGGCCAAGAACTTGAGCAATAATTTGCTTAACTTGGTTACACCCTGAATAGAGAAGTGGTGAAAATTTAAGAACATTCACTAGCTGACATTCATTACGTCAGCTGAATAAAGGCGTACCTTAATTTCTATTGCTGTCCATGTTTACCTCTCATAGAATCAGAATCAGCTAGGTTGGAAAAGACCTAGGATCATCAAGCCCAGCCTTTACACCAGGATGTTCCTTTTTGCACTGCTAATAAACCCAGCTAAGTACACCTAGTAACAGGAGCTTTGATTTTAGCCTCACAGTCACTTCTACAAGTGTTGCACAAATACAGTTAATTAATCTGAAAAATCACATTTCTCCACCTGAGACTTTCTTTGGCTTGCATATTTTAACTGACACTTGGTCTGCTGCCTTTAGACTGTGCAAGCGGCACTGGATAAGGCCCGAGAAGGGCGTACCTGCATTGTCATTGCCCACCGCCTGTCCACGATCCAGAATGCAGACATCATCGCTGTGATGTCACAAGGAACAGTCATTGAAAAGGGCACTCATGACGAACTGATGGCAATGGAAGGAGCTTACTACAAGCTTGTTACCACTGGAGCCCCAATTAGCTGAGCCACTGTGATTCTAATTGTGAAAGACTGCTTTTCTGCATTGGGACCACACTGTGCTACAAAATGCTCTAAAACATTGTGAGTTCTGTGTACCCTAAATGTATGTAGCTTTCTGCATCAAGCACACTTGTCAGGCACATGCAGGGGACTAAGCACAGGGTGATGTATTCAGGAAGTAGCTTAGCCCACTGCTAAGGGGAAAAAAGCCTGAAAATGGGCAAGATCCTTGCTGGGGAACTGCCACCACCTGCAGTCAGACTGCACAGTCCTGTCTTTCCTCAACTCTGCTCTACTGCTCTGAAAACTGCCACTTGGCTAGGTAAGCTATATGAGTAAGAAATAATCCTGAGAATGCTGCTGTATATCTGAAGGGATCATATATCTCCTAACGTTTGGCCTGCAGAGGACTACAACAGTCACCCTTACTGTGCTGTGGGTACAGACCCACCCCCTTACACCCCTTCAACTCTTACGTGTCGGGCTGGGCTTCTGCTGTGTGCCATGACAGCACTAACGCACTGGCACCATGAGCCTGGTCTGGCTGTGCCCCTTCAGAAAAAACCCTGTGCTTACAAAGAAGGCAGCTCCGTACAAGTAACAAAGGCAATCAAGGAGAGGAGCAGAAGCTGGTGAGGATCATTTGCCCTACACTCTCACCATTGATCAAAACTGTCAAATAGATTTTGAATAGGAATAAATGCTTTAGTTAAATCACTGGAAAATCCAACAGTTAATCATCACCGTTATTTAAATCACTTCTATAGAGATGGTCATGGATAATATGTCCTCTTTTTCTTTCAGAAGGAAAGACAGTGATGAGTATTTTTACAGAAATCAAAAGTATGTTCAGTAAAGGTAGAACAAATAGCCATAATTAGGTCTTAAACAGAGCTGATAAATAGAGGCACCATTAATTCAGAAATGACAAAGGTCAGGAAGCATCTTCTGGCAGAAGCTTGTCTCTAACAGTGTGTTATAAGGTCTACTGCATGTTTCTCTGAAATATGTTACTGGTTATTGTCTGCAGGACAACAGGACTCTTCCCTTTAGTGACATTTAGGGCCTTGGAGACAAAGCAGAGACAGAAAGTCTACGTTTCTGTCAAAATTTAAACCTTTGAATCATAGAGTATTAACTGGAAAAGTCATTCTTCATGTCCTAAAAGCTGCAGCTGGGGAGGGGGAAGGGTTCACCCATTTTAGAACAAATCCCAGCACAGTTGAGTTCCTTATAAATCTACACCACAATGCCAACTGCTGCAGACTTGAATGGAGCTGTAAGGGTGACCACTTTATTAAGATACATCCCTTAATTCCAGACAGAAAGAAACAATTTCAACTTATGTACAAGTCTGTTAATAGAATTACTTCAACAGACAAGCTGAACTCACATAGCTGACACTGAAATACTGTTTTGCCAACGAAGTCTGTTGTTTTAATCCTTAACTGCAAATGGAAGAAGCTGAATTATTTGGCTCATGGTTTAATCTTTTTAGCCTTTTTACATTTCTTAACAATAATTAGTTGGATGGCTCAGGACTGAAACTACTGACAGGGTGACTATGAATAACCTATTGACATACCTGTAAGACATTTAATTTATATTAGGCCACAGAAAAGTAACAACTCTATAAAAAATTACAGTGACCATGTACTTCGTCCGTAATTCTTTCTGCATAAAGCACACCACTTTTGTGGCCCAAATTATACCAATAAATTGTATTTTTTTACTGGCTCTTGTGTTTTAGTGCTTCACCTCTTACCCTTCAGACAAGCCGATGAGTATCTTGCAGCAGGTAACAACTATTTCTGTGATTTTGGATCATATCTGTCACAAGGGTCTGCTGTGCAGGACAGAGCTGCTGAGAAGACCAATGCAACTAGACTAGCCCCTGCCTCCAAAGGAGCTTGCCATCTCCTTGCAGGAGCACAGCTACATGGGCACCATTCTCAGTTTTAGTAATGTTTTAATAGCTGTAGAAAGAATAAGAGGTGGTTCAGACAGGAATCTGATCTTTGTTCCTTTCCCTGAAGAACTGAAGTTGTGGGCAGAATTAACAGGACAGCACTCTTCTCACATGTCTGTACAGTGCCTTGAACAATACTGCAGAAATACTTGTTGTCATCTTACATTTACAGTTATGTCTATCCTAACAAACAGAAGCACCAAGATTCTTCTGTCAGCATTGGGAAGCACAGACCCTCATGTGGTAGGAACTTAGAAATGTGATGTCTGCTCTTAACTCCCATCTTAAAATGGCCCAAGCACTGCAGCAAGAGGCAGAGACAGCTGTGCACAAAGAATCCTTACTGCTGGTCAGGAGAGAGGAACAGGATACCCAGACCAAGCTAGAGTTTTGTGACACCTCTGTAGGCCACCTCACCAGCAGGGAATAACAAAGCACACAGCAACCTGAACATGAGAGAAATCAATGTCATAGCTGTCTTTGTACTTCATTATTTGCTTCTAGTCCCATTAGCTTAATAATTTTGCTTAAGGAGTCACAATTATAGAACAGAGTGGTTTCCGGACACCTGCTATGGGAAGAAAGGTTTCAGAGAACCATTTAAGAAGATATCAGGAGATGCATAAAGCACAATACTCCTCAGACTGTTAAAACCAGATGATAAATTTTCTTAAGGCAGTCTTAGCAGGCACTTGAGTAAGGATGCCTGTTTCAGATTTGCTTCTGTAATTTGTACCATGTTCAGTCCTAAGGGCCAACACAAGCTATTCACCTATTTTCCCAATTAACTGTCTTTCAATTTCAATTATCACACAACTAACTGGAAGTCTAGAAACAATATCATGCTTACATCTTTTAAGCCTTACTGCTGTCAGATCATACATACACTGCCCTCATTACTCACATTATAGCTTTATGCTGATTGTATATTATGTCTTATGAGATGGCATCAGCAAAATACTGCTTAAAGATTCTGCACTGGAAATGAATATGCAACAGCATATGCTAAATAATGAATAAAAAAGGAAAATACTTGCCTTTATTTAGAATATCCATTTTATATAGCAAACATATTTAACATATCAGCAAATTGTGTACTCAGGTAAACAAAGCTGACAAGAATATAAACTTGCAGTGACAGTCTGCAACCACATTGTCATGATTTACGCAACTGTTACCAGCAACTCAGGTGTGTGACTTGACATGACAGAACTAGACTAATTTACCTTTGCAATACAGGAACTTGAACAACATTCTCTAGGTGCTATGCTGAGACAATTTCATTATTGACAACGTTCTTCATTTGTTGCTCTGTGCAGATGTACAGAATCCAAAGATTTGTTACACCGTATTTCAACATTAAAGGTTTAATCTGTATCAGCCATGATTCATGTGACTTCTTTCAAAAGGTAGAAATGACAAAACCCACACAGTAACGCAAAAACATATTCTACAGAATCTAATCAAAATAAACGTTCAGTATTTTTCATCATCTGGCTTAATCAGAAGCTGTTTTGCTCAGGAAGCTCAATAAGTTAACTCTGAAGTCTTCTTTCTAACTATGCTGGCCTTTTCCACAGTGTACAGTTGTAGAGTTGGAGGGGTTGTGATACTATCATACCCTTCTCTAGCAGTGTTAACACATACCTATCTGTCTATATATACATACATAAAATTAAATACTGAGTATCACTATGTATAACTGACGCTCAAAGCATCAGCCAGCTGGAGATGGACAGAACGAAAAGACCACCAAGTAGCTACATAAAACTAATTGATTATACTTTGAAACTTTGCTATAACCCAGAGTATTGGGTCATTTCTAACCATACTGCAGTGTGGTTGCAATATTTCTAGGGAAAAAAAAAATCAGCAGTTAGTATTTCTGAGCTGGCAAGGTCATTCTTGAATGCACTGGTATTGGATGCACGAGTTACTTACCAGAATCACATCAAGATGCAGTGGCATGCCCTTGGGATAAAATGAATTGGCAAAACTGCCTTTTGTTGAGGGTTCTTGACCAGTTCATATCCACACCACCCCCCCCCCATGGCTAACCATCTGGAAACTCTATCTAATTAAGTTTCTTTTCAGTTGTTCTCATTAATGAGTGGACACAGTATGGAACCAAGGCAACTACGGTCAGAGGCATAGCTGCACTCTTACAAAAAGAGAGAATGTAGAACAAATATTCAGTATGAGTAGGTATCTTAACAAAATTATACAGCTGCAGCGTAGCTAAAGAAGCAGCTATACACACCACACGGAAACTTATCTTACAGCTATTTTTACCTCTGCAGCTCGTGACGAACATTTCAGAATTAATTCCGAGACCTAAGCCAAAGAGTGCACCTAAATTCCTCACCAGTCCAGCAAATGGAGTTGTGTCAATGTTTATCCAGTCTGGGTTGGCACACCACTTCTTGGCCTTTGGAACAGACCATAGCAAGTCAATATCAAGAAGTTTGAGGACTAGATAAAAGCCAAGGGCAAAGATGAAAAGAAACAAGTTTGTCTTGATGTACATTCCCAAGCTCGCTGTCTGAATAGCAGATGTATGCTCAAATGCTTCTGCCACCAGAATGCCTGCAGATTAGAAACTCAGTGTTACAGGAAACAATTTATTTGTACTTTGAAGAAGCACTTTTTATAGTGCCCCTGCAGAACTTGACTTTGGGAGATATTTATTTTCTATATAGGTAAGTATAGATACACATACAATTTACCATTTCTGTAGTACAGTACAAAGCCTTTTTTCCCCACTCAAAAAAGAAAGAAATTCAGTACCAAGCACTACACAACTTTGGTGTGAGGCACTACTTAGGTTGTCATCTGGGAGGTGCAGTCAGGCCTATTAAAGATTTAAACTAGAACATTCCTTTTCCAAAAGAGTTCCTCACTCAAAGACTGGCACCAGCAATGCAGAATTCAATACCAGTTCCAACACAAGCTTTGAGTGCTGAAGGAAAAGACACAGAACATCCTTCTTTCTTACTCATTTTATCCTGGATAGAAAAGGGAGAGCTGGACTGCAGGCTCTCAGCCAGTGCCGCCCAGGCTGCTATGCATCCCTAAAAGAGAATGGGAGCAGGCAGCCCCCACTCAATGCTCTGCTCAAGGCCTTCCTCAAGATCAAATAAACACTAGAGAGGTAGTTCATAGTTTGAACTTCCTAAATACCAATTTGAAACATGTTTAAGTAACTCTGAAAAACATTCATTAACTTCTTAAATCACCCTGGGAAGTCTGCACTGCTAGTTTTCCGTTTTGCTCCAGGCCTCTGGCCCCATGCTTGTCCACACCGCATACATGGTAGTCTATGCCTGGACACCATTTGAAGTGAACCAAATACTTTCCCCCTGAGAGGGCCAGACAAAGATCAGGTGCAGCCACACCAGCTGGAGCTAGGCTGTGGCAGTGCGCAGCATCAAATGACACATGGTCAAGGGCTCTCTCCTGGTGTCAATTACAAAGACAGTAGGTACCTCACACATTTTACCATTAGTCTATCATCATCGCATCCTTCTAGAGAGCTGCAAGCTAAGGAGCACTACTAAAAATCTCTTGCCATCTCTCATACTTAGTTTTTCTCAGATGTTGCATATACGTTGAAAAGAAAAACCTAGCAGCATTACCAGCAAATACTCCGATAACAACTTGATGAGGGAAATGCGTTGCTATGAATACTCTTGAGATGCACACACTGATCTGGATAATCCAAAAAATACTCCAGAGGAATGACCATGTCAGTCTAAAAGGGAAAAATAAGACAAGATTTCACCTACTAATTGACACCAGGCTCCTTTCTGTCAGGCTCATGTTTTTACCAAGCAGAGGGTGACAAGTAGAAAAGTTTACAATCAGGTGACTAAAAACCAGAAGCCGATACTAGAACATTAGCAAGAGTGTTTGCTCTTGCAGCCACATCTATGGCTGCAGGAGCACACCCCAGTAGTTTTAGTTCCAAGACACCACCATGGTTTTAGTGATAAAAGTCATCAGTGGTGAGTTAAATTAGCACTAGTACCTTGAACATGTTTCTTATCATGAAGTCATATCTAAATGCAAAAGTCCAATTATCTGATGACAAAATTCACATTGCATGGGAACAACCTTGGAAAGAACAGCCACCAAACCAGTTATAAGAGCTCCCCACAGGGTTGAACAAGATGCTGCACTGACCGTCACCAGCTTTATGCGCATTTGCTTTAAAATGGGCCAAGGCAGCATCCATCAAAGCAGTAAATTTATGTATTAACCAAAAGATGCAGCACATAAAGACAACAGAATTCAAAATTTTCAACACTGAAGACATGACACAACATTTACTAGGAGCTAACAAAGACAATTTATGCTGTGACTGTAAGTTAATAAACACCAAGCAATACAAATGGATAAATCTTCTCAATATTCCTTTTCTCCAGCTGAAGCAGACCATAATAAGCCCTTGGTTTGTTGTTTTGTGGTGGTTTGGTTTTTTGGTGGTGGTTGTTTCTTTTTTTTTTTGTGTGTGCTTTTTGGTTGGTTGGTTTGTTACAAGCTGGACACAGCAGACTTTGAGTATTTGGTTAACTTAAGTCCATTAAAACCAGAGCATAAACATAAACATCTGCATGAGTTAGAATAGCAGAGACACTGACCTGTGAAGGCTAACTGCTGATTTATTTTTCCATCTAACTGTGTAGCTAAGTGCTGCAGTGACCATTACATACCAGACACACGAAGATCCCATTGCATGTCCGGATGGGCTTCCTAGTGAAAACAAAAAGGAAATATTTCCATAACATTTGTGATATAGAAAAAGTCTCCTGGCAGTTCCTCAGGCACCTCATCATTCAGAAAGAGAATGGCTAGCAAAGACTTAAAGAATATCAACTACTTCTCAAAAGCTAATTTTCAGAAGACTCATCCAAAGGGAATCCAGAGTATTTGCCTGAAATAAGTTGATAGCAACTATCTTATACTGGTGTCTTGATTGAAAAGCATAGTATTTTTCTTACTTAGCTTTGGATTGTGATTGTGCATTAAAAAAAAATCATCTGGGGTCTCTTAGGGCTCCTAAGACAGAAGCTACATATCAGGATTGGATGAGATAGGTTTTGAATGGGCTACCTCATAATTAGGGGTGTGACAGAGATTTTGCTCTTTATAACATTCTAAACTAAATTACTGGTACAACTTTAGAGGGCCCTTCCAAATTGCCTTTTGTCTGCTTTGCCAGTTACCACGGCGTTAGGAATTGAGATTATGATCTGTCTCATTCATAATATTACAGGTAATTAACATTTTAGGTAGTTTTGTAATGAACTTAGAACTGTATCTGAAGTGTGATGGAAGAACTGTGTCTTTACGCTTTACTTGGATTTATTTTACTATTTTTAAGGTAGTGTACAACCTCAAATAGCCTGGAAACATTATTAATGGAACTGGCACGTGAAATGATGCTGAACATACTGGAATAATGGCGGTATTCACAGTAGTCTCTAACAGGGAACACACTCTCATAGAGATCAACAGTGATTTCTTTTTAGTCCAGATATAACAATACTTGTGTAATTTGTTTTATTCTAATGAATCAAACTTTAAGTTTGCTGGAAACAATATGAAGCCATAGAGAAGTTCCTACAACCATGGAAATCACCAAAATACAAAGTACGCTGGCATGATGCAAGGGAAGCAATTCCTAAAATTACTTCTCTTCTGTTCACCAGGGAAGGAGAAAAAATAGATCATTGGAATCTGTCTATACCAGACTTCAACAGTTTGGCTTTCTGTGGAGACAAAGGAGAAGTAAAAGGGACAGGGTTATTTCATGGGCAGAAGAAATGATTTTGGCTGAAGAACGTGTTATGATCCAGCACTACGTAGTAGCTTGCAAAGCAAAAGAAAATTTCATTGAAGCAGCAAAGCTGGAATGTTTAGGGAGGACAAGCACAATCATTCCTGGCTCCCTGCACTTATTTTTGGTACTCTGCTTGACAGTATCTTTAGTAATCAAGCTACCAACTATATTGTTCATTTCACAACAGATGTACACTTCTAAACCTCACAATGGAACAAACATCACTTATAAGGAAACCGCAATGCTGTATATCTGCACTGGGAAAGCTTTTTTGTTGTTGTTGAGGAAAATGTAATCTAGGAAAAACATTTCAGAGCTCGTCTGCAAATTACCGACTAGAAGCAGCATCAACGCCAGTTTCAGGTTTATGTTCTCAAAAATCTTACAAAATACCAGAGAAAAGAGGGCTCTGGTTTTTTTGGTTCAGTTCATTCCAGAAGTACAAACCAAACTCGGGTCCTACATTGCTTGCCACGTAGTCATATAAACAGTTCCTTCAGCTTTGCCTTTTGTTGAGCCGCAGAATTTGGGGTTAGCAGCATTTCTCACACCTGCAGCTGCTTCTCTAATCTTTTCATGTAAGCTGCACACTTTAAAAGTGTGTGAAGTACAGCGTAGGCTCAGACACTGACAGTGTGCACCTAACAGCTGTGCTGACGGCACCTCCTCCTGTTAATGAAGGAAAGGTGCCTGAGATATTGTTGATGGTCAAGGGCAAATCTGGAGGTGGGAGAAAATGTGGCCATTATAAGAAAATCCGGAATCAGTGCGACAGTTGTACCCACTGGACAGAAGCAGGAATGACTTGTTACATCAGAAAGAAAATAATGGGAAAAAAGGTCTTCTGGTTCAATAAATCAAAATGAAACACACTGGTTCCTTAGTCAGGGCTTGGAATTACATGGTTCTGAATAGGCTCAGTTCTAAAGGCTTTTGAAAATATCTGAAGGAATTTAATACTTTGGGTTAGGTCCCAAATAAATTCACTTGAAACAGGCTGCAGATCAGGCATTACAAAACCTGCCTGGTACAAGGGATTAAGCTTCTAGCTCAATATTCCAATGGGATATAATGCAGGATACTGTTAACAAAATACAGCTCTGCAAACCCCTTAAAAGCTTGCAGTGGCCCTCACGAGGCACTCAGCACATATGTTTCCACAGTCAATATTTTCTTGTAAAAGGAATTAAACTAAATTCAGTCAGTTAGCTCCAAGCAACTTTACCTTATCTCACATTAGGCAGGGTTGCACAAGCTCACTTAACTTGAGCAATATTGCAGAGAAGACAATGAAATTAAAAAAGTGAAAATACAGCAAAAAGGTGCATTTTTTTATTTATTTATTTTTTAAGAATCCCCTTCCCCGCCCCCATATTTGTACACATAAGTGTGTGTCCTCCATTCAGTGCCAGTGTCTGGTTCTGGGGGGAGGGGTTCCATTTCCACTTGTGATATATTACATGATTGATCGTTGACACTATTATTATTTACTCTGAACACCTACTACCTCTTTATGGTTTGAATAATCATTGCAATAGCTCTCAAATTGAACAGCCCCCTGGTCTGTTTTGGAACACTCTTAGACAACGTGGTATTTCCCTTCTCAAGCTGAAGTCACTGGCACTGCAACTGTTCCTAAAAATAATCTCTCAAAGCAGGCAACTCACTCTTTTTGAATCCATGACACAGGTTTTGTAATTCCTCTCTGATATGCTGGTTCATGCTACTAGGGTTTACTTTTAAAGCAAAACTATCACATTTTATCTACTCCTTTTTCTTTTCCTGTGTTTTGCTCCTATTTTAGACATGAGCTCTGAGAATATTATTAAGTCACACCCTCTCCCCCCAGAAGCCACTATCTGTATTAAATGTGCCAATGTAATCGCAAATATTTCTTACCTGGTCCAGTTTCACATGTTATAGGAAACTGTTCAAGGCATGGGCTTGACTGATTGGGATAAATCATTGTTTCTTGCACCCACCAGTATGGGCGATGGCCAAATAAAATCCTGACCAGAAAAAAAAAAAAGGCAGATACACAGTAAAAATATTTGTATGTGAGAAGGCCTCAGTAAAGCATGATAAATATTCTTACAAGGAATACAAGCAGCTATAATGCCAAAATCATTCTGTAATAGTTCTATATGATGTTCTTGTCTTATCAAAATGTCATTTCAAACATATGTTAAATATCTTCATTGTGAATTCCTGTTTTACAATTACAGGACAAAGTCTACTAGTACATTATTCAAGCAAGTTTTCTAAGCTTGAGGCACATATATTAACCATCATTAAAAATACTGTATTTTAAAATAAATCCAACTTCTTACCATTTAAATATGAGGTTGAACCAATCACCAATGACTGCCACCCATATCATTTTAGTACCAACCACTTGGTTGAGCTGAAACCAAAGAGGAAAATAAATTGAGAATATATTCCGGGGATCACCAATGTGTGACATAAAATTAAGCAAATCCTGGTAAGCCCTGTAGTCCCTCTGTAAATGCTGAATGATAAGCACGCCATTGCTATGAAGGAGATCCATCTTAATGGATTAAACTGTACTTGAAATAGTAAAGTTCCTTTAAACTTAGGTTTCCAATGATGAAGAATAAGAACCACGGAGGGGAGCTATTAAAAAATGAGAGCAGGTGATTGACGTTGCCTTTATATTGTATCAGCGCCGTGTACCCAGCCGTGCTGGAACACGTGGCTCCCAAACAGCAGGAAAGCACATGAGTCTGTTAGCACTGGAAAGCTTTTCTGTTTGCAGGTCGTAATTGGAGGAAGCTAAGTGAACTGCGTGCTGAGCAGCAGCAAATTGTGGGGAAAGTTTTGTGGAAACACAACGTGTAACTTATGCAATCCTCTCTATGAACAGTTGGAACATGTTTGCTTGGATTTTCTCACAGTTCATTTCTCCGCAGGATGGACATCAGTGATGTGTATACTTCGTTAAGTGTTGCCTGTACAAAGGATAGAAAGAATACACAATTAATTGGTCTTTGCAGAACTGTCATCAAAGCTGTACATTTCACTTCAAAATAGGTTGGCTACCATGCTGTAACTAATACTTTGCAGCCATGGAATATTTTCAGCCATGGAAAATAAAGCTAGCTGCCATATATCAACAATGCTGTTCAGATCTAGATTATTTTTTAAAGCATCAATATTCTCAAAGCACTGAAAAACAGTTGTTTCCTTTATACAAGAGGCCATGTTAATTCAGGGCAAAATGCAGATGAAACTTAGTCTACAAGTCACAGTATCACAGTACCAAGTCATCTCATTCAGTACTGTCATTCTTGCATGCTGCTTACACGATGCAAGTCATACACACCTCTGCTAGAAGAAGCTGAAGCCCAACCTCCTGCAGGCCCCCTTCTTGTTGCCCAGCCTGGCAGAAATTGACCTGCTGCGCAAACCAGAGCAAACCTGGGAGCAGATGATAAGGAGTATCCTTAAGCATTTATGAGTGAAACACTTAGGTTCTCCAGGGCAAACAGCCAAAGGACAACTGAGAGTCTCCCAGATAGCAGGATTTTAAGAGTATACAGCAAATAACCTATTAGCACATGAGGTTTACCAATATTAGTATTAATAACTGTAGCATAAGAAAAGCTTATGTTAGTTTGTGAGGCAGGTACATGAAAAATTCTTTTCCAGAGAAGATTAAACGGATACCAAGAGTCTGACGATACCATCATTTGATATCATTGGAGCAACAAGAAGAAAACTTCAGTTCTTTATCAGGCTTCAATATTCAGACATATTAATATCTTTTACTAAAGATTATCAATGTGTCTGCAACAATTAAAATCAGAAAAACAAAAGCAGCTGTATATGTGCACTGCTTTCTGCATGGCACTTTAACTATACAAGCTGTGGAGACAAAGATACAGACTACTTAACTGGTTTTGCTGAAGAGAGACTTAGCAGCTTAACCCAGCTTTATGATGTGTGGTCAGGGAAGTCACATGGAAACATTAAGCAGATTCAGCAAATAAGGCATGACAATCAAATGGACTTAGAAGACCTTTCTTCCTGACACAATCTCACATTTACTTCAGCTACTTGCATTTACTTTAGCTATTAATAGTCTGGTTTTAGAAACTTTTTAGCAGATTTTAATCCGATATATGTTTATTGCTACCCACTGCATTGAGCCAGGTAGAAAACCTTAGAGTTAAAAAGTGATTTAAAATTATATGCATTGTTTCTGAAGAACTGCTTTAACATTCTTGCACACATTGACTGAATTATTCACATCCACTGGTATCACCTGATTTCAAGGAAAACCCTTCCAACCCCCAAATTTCAGGATATTTCAACAATCAGTTTCTCCTAGCTTTTTAGCTACAAATATTTGGGAAGATTTGTTTTATGCTAACCAAAGCTCTACAGCTTATAGCACTGCAGGGCATCCAGCAAGGAAACTGTCATATAAATAAAAGAGATGGAATTTATTTTCTCTCTCCCAGTTCTTTCCCAAGGATGTACTTGTTTAGAAACCTCTCTCTCTCAAGTAACTTTTTATAACATATTACCAGAAAAAAAAGTCTTTTTGCCACATTTTCTGTCTGTAAAAGTATTTCTCCCTTAAAGATAAACAGTACTTAGCATAACAATTAAAAAAAAAAACAACACCTCACTTTTGTGCATGTTTGGGCTTAGTATGCAAAAATGTGAAGAATCTGAGGTTTTCTTCTGTTTATCAGTCTCGATTATAAAGAATAATTTGTGTAAATGTCAAGTCAGTTGGTGGCCGAGTAAGTCATCTTCTAGTACGCAGTTAAACCAGCAACTGTAATGATGTTAAGTCTAAATAACTATTGTTTCATTAGGGAAAATATTTTGCAATAAATAAGTTTCCCTCAAGAGTCAATTTAATCTCCTCAGGAGAGTCTACCAAGTAATAAAATAGATCACTCTACAGTCTCTCTTTAATGCCACCATTGATACTCAATAGTATCAGAAAAACTGACTCTCTGACACAGGATGTGCAGAACCATCACAGGAACTTTTTGCATGTTTTTTTATTTATAAATACAAATCCACTCACCCACGTTATCCACTGGGATAGTGCTGCACCTGCTCAGGCTAAACTCTTCTTTAGACAGAGCCACTCAGGCACACTTTGGTTCTCCAGAAACAGGTTAATATAACCTGTGAAGGTATGCCTTGGCAATGTTGCATTGAAGTAACCTCTTCTAGTTTAAATGCTAAAGGCTTTCTGCTACTGATTTTCTTTTTAAAGATCTTGCTGATGATTATCTTTCTGCTTATATAGAAAGCACCTTAGACATAATGAAGACTAACAGCAAACATAAACAATCTCCAGTTTTCTCCTAAGTTATTTCTGTTGCAAAAGCTCATATATCCACATTAAGACGTATCAGAGGAGTCATGTTAATAAAAGACGTTAAAAAAAACCCAACCAAATCCAAATCTACAAACAGAAAGCAGGAAGTTTTTGGAACAGGTAAACAGGTTTCTGTGACAGCAGGAGTTCAGGTGATGCTCTCACTGTGCCTGGAAGCACAATGGATTGTGCTTCATCTAAGAGCCTGTCAGCAACTGACACGCAAGTCATCTCTAGTCCTGCCTGTGATATTTCACAACCCACAAAAGTCTGAAACATTAAAGACCTTCCTAGCTCTAATAACCAAAGATGGCAAAATGTCTTGAAGTATTAAGTAACTTCTTTAAACTAACAAAAAAGAAATACTCCCTCAAAAGGCTTCCCCCTCCCTTTTTTATGAAAAGCATTGCAAAATGCTTCTGTAATGCACTTAGTATTTCAAACTTACTTGGGAGAATATATGAAATAAAATTATCTGCTGTATTTTAGTACTTTGAATTGTGAGGAAAAATAGTGCTCTGTACAAAATGGTCAGAATGTGCATGCTATTAAGTTTCTAAATCCAATTTTTGTTTTGATATTACAGAACCAAGGTTTGACCTTCACGTAATCAAATAAATTATTAGTGCAAAGCAAAAACCTCTAAAACACTACCTGTTCATTACTAAAAAGTTTTTAATTAATTGGTATTTTCTTGATGCATTTTGTTTCCCAAGGCATACAAAACCAGAGACTATCCAAAACTTTATATATGCTTGATAAAAATTCAGGCACAAGAATCATGCTGATGATCCACTGAAGGGAGGATAAACTGTTTACTTCTGCTTTACACCTACATATTAGAGCAAATATTACATAACGGGTATCAGATGTTATTAAGCAAATGTTTGCAAGGGAAGGAAAAGCCATCAAAGCAAACATTTTCTAAAACACTGTTAATGGAGGCCTATGTACCAGGCCGAACTTTCTGGTACATTATGCTTAGTTAATTGAACAATAACATTAATTTCCACATCAGTGTTTCCATTGGCACTGGAGCAGCAACAAGGATTAAGCAGCAATTTAGTAAGTTCACAAGCACACTGTATACAACAGCTGACAGCTATTTTGTTAGATTTGATTATTTTCCAAATGAAATACTGAGAAGATACATCTTAATTTTAGATTTAGGAAAAGAAGAACCTTTCAAGAAGCTCTTTCTTTCTTTGTTTCTACATTTCATTCCCTCAAGCGTTCCTCATTGGACCCAGGTGGCCATAGTTAAGGTAAGGCTTCTTTACGGTTGGACTGGCCAGTAGAGGTTTAGCAAATACTAACCTGAAACAGCTGCCTTCTGTTCTTCCATCTTAATCTAATCCTCCTAGTTACCACACTGTCACCATCCCTTGCTATAAAGTTCACTATGCAAATACAGGAAATTAACAAATCTTCTGTTTGCAATACAGTATCTGCCACACCTTAATACTTGCTTATATTTGTGTGTATCTGTATGCATAAGCATAAATGATACAAACAACGCATAGAACACAATTCTGGTATGTTCACAGAAAAGTCACATCTAAGGAATTCTAGTTACTATGACTTTTTAGAAATCACAGGCAACCTAGAGTTCCAACAGTGACTAACAATCCTTCAAGCTCCATAAACTGCAAGCAGAAATGGAGTTTGGACCCACAAGGGCAACACTGTATCTTTTTGGTTTTGTTCCTTTTTAGTTAACATCACTGCTTTATTGCCATTCTCTAATCCCTGAAATTAGCCTCATGCCAGCCTTAGCGCAGTGAGGTCAGAAACCTACCCAAAGAAGCTGCTGAGTCTGTTTATTAGCACCACCTCTTCAATTTTGTGTTCCCTTAGCAGTTTCCACTGAAGCTGCAGTAGCTCTCCAATCCTGAACTATAGTTCTCGGTTACCCTTTCACCCAGCTCTGGAACAGCCTCATATGGACTCTGAGGTAGCAATAAAATAAAGCAAAAATCCCGGTTGGCAGTAGCCTGCCCTTAAGCTTGACTATAGGTTCTCACTCTGCTGCTGAACTTGTACTCCAGACCTGAAGTTTAACTGAGTACCCCTGGGTTACAAAGACACCCCTGCACAGCGGGCACATGCACAAAAGGGTTACACAGTACAATTACAGTATCTGCAGCAAAGCTTTTAGCGCTAAAGAGGCCAAATTACTACGGAAGCTTCATACATCCATGACCACTCTGTGGCTTGCTAACAGGAATTGAGGGGAAAAAAAAAAATCAATCAGAACAAGCGACTGGGCTAGAGTTACTGCAAGGTTAGGCGCTAGTGTTTCTGATTACAGACCGTTCCTAATCGGACCTAACGGAGGATTTCAGCAGCATATGACCTGTGCTAGTTTAGGTCATGAGGCTGTATTTCTGTTTATGTATTACGTTCATGACTAAGTTACCCAAATACGTTCTGGGAATAAATGTAACGTTAGAAACAAGTTCTAACTTCACAGGAACGTAAAGAAGCTAACCTGCTCCCCGGTTCAAGCCTGACTTCGTTCAGTACGGAACCGTAACCCGCACAAACAGCACCAAGCTTTCCCCATTGACCGGCCTCGCTCCCCGCCGCGGCAGCCAGCACAACCGCCACCCTTCAGCAGTCCCTGAGAACACGTCTTAATCCAAACAGGAACTTCCCAGAGAAAGGTGGCCGACTTACAGCTGCTTCGCCTTTGCAGCACCAGCACCGACCCCCACCGCAAACCCCAAACGGCTCCATAGCCTAGCCGCACCGCGCCAGCCCTCTCTACTCGTCATCGCAGCTCCGCCTCTCTCTAGGATGGACCATTACCACAATAACTCCCAACACACCCTGCGCCTCCGGCCGAAACTAAGAGTAACTGAACCAATCAGCAGCCCGTTTGTTGCCAGGCGGGCAGAAGCGGTGCCCAGTTAGGAAGCAGCTATTGCGGAGGCGGGAAGGTGTTGGCGGTTTAAAAGCTGATGGTTACGGCGGCCTTGGTGTTCCGCCTTTCATGCAGTCTCAGTTCTCAGGCAGGGCTCAGCTCAATAGTGCACCGCCGTACTGCAGCACAGGGGCAGCTGCTGCTGTCAGCTCGTCGGACAGAGAAGGCGGTAAGCCCCGCGGGAGAACGGCGAAGGGTAGGAGTGCCCCTGTGGAGGCGAGGCGAGGCGTGGCGCGGTGCTGCCGGACCGCGGGAGCGGCTGCCGGTACCGCGACAATCCCGAACACAACGCAGTGCAGGGCCTACTCTTGACACGTCGCTGGTGGAGAAGCAGAAGAAACGCAGCTTCCACTGTTAACTGCTTATTATAAAGGTAACAACAAAAACATAGGGGAAGAGGCCGTGACAATCTGAAGAGATAAAACCAGTCCTGAAGGCTTATCCTGTAGTTGTAATCTTCTGCGATTGGCTTGGGTGTTCCGGTACTGTTATTTACTCACTGACGCGTTTGTTGTAGCACGATGGCCAACGTAAAGGGAGAAGATGAAATAGCTTTCTTCGAAAGAGAAATAGAAGAGTTTTGCACTGAATTACAAGGTATTGTGAGTGAACAGATCACACAGAGTCAAGCACTGAGAGATTCATGCAGGGAGTTCATAAAAACACTTTCAGGTAAAAAGGCTCTATGTTCCTCTTACCTCTGCTTTTTTTTCAAATTGTCATCATGCTTCCTCAGATAACTGAAATAATTTTTCATTGCAGAGAAATGGTCCAAGAAGCTGAAAGAAATGGACCTGATGATTGATAAGATTCAGGAGTACAGCAATGGTACTGTATGGTGTTTGATTCACTGTGTCTAATATTTCTAAACTTAACTTAATACAGCTGAATAATATGCTTAACTTCCCACTTTAAAAGGAAACAAACAACTTCAGAATGAAAGTAGAATTAAAAGCAAACATACTTGGTTGGTTACAGGATGTAAGTTGCAAGTCGAAAGCAATTTGTTGGAAAACTTCATTCCTGATGCAAATAAATAAAGGTCTAGTAGAAGTTTTATGTATACTGGTCTTGGTGCCTATGCATTTAAAACAACAAAGAATCAGAACTTGTTGATTGCAATAGGAAAAACAGGTTAAATTGCTTAGTAAAGTTAAATATTGTGAGGATTTTTTTTACACCTTTTTCCATGTTGGTAATAGAATATAGTCAGCCTATCAGTGTAGGACTAACTTCTT